ATTCCTATTGCCTAGTGATGTCTTGATAATTTCAATCTTGCGTAGGCCTACAATAATGTGAATTTGAGTCTTAGTTTTCAACAAAAAAGTTTAAAAAGTAAAAAAAAAAAAAATTAAAAAAAGAGAAAAGAGGCTTCTAGAACAAAGATATGAAGAAAATATTTTCGTACAGCTGTGTTTGTATTTTAAGCTAAGTGTTATTACAAAAATCAAAAAGTTAACAAAAGTAAAGTTTGTAAAGTAAAAAGTTACGATAAGCTAAGGTTAATTTATCATTGAACAAAGAAAATTTTAAAAATAAGTTTAGTGCAGCCTAAGTGCACAGCGTTTATAAAGTTTGCAGTAGGGTGATGTCCTAGGCCTTCACATTTACCCACCACTCACTCACTGACTAACCAGAGTAGCTTCCAGTCCTGCAAGCTCCATTCATTGTTGGTGTCCTATGTAGGTGTACCGTTTCTTATCTTTTATATCACATTTTTCTATTTTGAGATACGTTTATATAAACAGATACCACTGTGTTACGGTTGCCTCCAGTATTCAGTATAGTCATGTGCTGTACAGGTGTGTAATGTAAGAGCAATAGGCTAGACCATATAGACCTAGGTGTATAGGAGGCTGCACCATTTAGGTTTGTATTACATACACGCCATGATGTACACATAATGATAAGATCACCTGATGACACATTTCTAGAATGTGTCCCCATCATTAAGTGATGCATGTCTGTATATATATATCATCCATGGGTGATACACACACAGACATACACATGCATGCACATACACACATACACACACCATACACATAAAATGTTTTAAATAAAAGGAAAAATCTCATTTTAAATAAAAATGAAATTATATATTTATAGTATTTTTAAATTAAAATATGCATTTTAGCAATCTAAGACAATTGAGGCCAAAGTATGTTGATTATATTAACAATTATAAGTGAGTTTGACTTACCTATTAAAATAAGAACCTAAAATTATAACCATGACTGCAAAGCTAAATCTAACAGTATGTATATAAAAACAAAGGCATTCAGAAAGGGAAAAATTAAAGGATAGTTAAGGATATACCAAGAACTACAAATATAAAGAAAACAGGTGTCTTTAGCTCAATATTTGACATGGCATAATTTAGACTAAAAAACTTTGAGACAAAGAAGGATTTTTTTAAATAATGCTAAAGGGTACATTTCTCAATGAAGACAAAGTAGTTTCATGACCCTAATAACAGATACAACTTTTACAAAGTAGAAACCTCAGAAGTTGCCAAGAG